GCTATTTATTGTTTGAACAATCAATGTAGCAGGACGCACCTCGGCAACAAAAAATCACCTGTCAGTCACATGAGTGGGTTTAAACAAAAGGTGCTATCTTCTCAGTTGTTTAACAGGTAGATGTAAATACCTGGAGTTAAAAGCTGAAATACTGACCTTAAGTCTCATATTCATCTTTTGATGTCAAACCTAATTGTATTCAGTGTACAGCAAAAATAAAGCAATTGGCCTCACTGTTCCAATAGTTTTGGAGGGAACTGTATTTTGTTAATTTAATGGTTTAATGGTCACACATGCAGAGCACACACAGTGACATTTGTTCTCTGCATTTAACCCACTCTGCATGTGTGACCATTAAAGAGGGTTTCATCCCTCAGATTCTATTCTATATTCTATTCTATCCTAGTACTAGCAGCTATTGTACAGCGCCCGGGGAGCAATGGGAGTGGGTGGTGGGGGGATGTCCGGTGCCTTGCTCAAGGGCACAACGGCAGGGCAGGAGGTGAACTGGGACCTCTCCAAGTAGCAGTCCACACTCCATATTTAAGTCTGGTCGGGGACTTGAACCAGCGACCCTACGGCTCACAGTCCAAGCCCCTACTGACTGAGCCACTGCTGGACTCATGGCACTTTCCAGTGGAGTGTTTTATGTCTTGGAACAAACGTGAAAATAACTTAAACTTGTGTTAACCACAGATTTTATTTCAGGCATTTAACTAAAAAGACACTATAACAACCATTGACTTGGAAACGAGGGAACCGGACGTTGGAAAATGCTAACTCTTTTCCCGGGTTATCGGACTCATGAACTCACAGGAACAAATATCCTGGTGCACTCACACACATTGGTACACATGCACAATGACATAATGGACTCTCACCCCGGGCCTCTTCAGCGCAGTGCTCCACTCCCACCTCCTCCCCCAGGGGGTAAATGGGTATCAGGTCGACGGCACCCATACACGGGTGCCCCCCGAGTGATCACGCATGTCTATGAGCCCACAGGCCTTCTCACATGCAGCGAGCACCGCCTCTCCTGCAGAAAAAAACATTACATTACATCAAACCATGTCCATTTTTAATTGTGTAAGTCCTTCAGCAGAACAGTCTGAAAGAAACTGATTTCAATGAGATAGAAATTAAATGTTTAATTTATTTTTAGGACTCAACCCCTGAGAGCTTTGTTTGCATTGTCAGAAATGCGTGTTAGGAATAAGCATTCAATGAGATAAACCTTTCACTGTGATTTTTGACAGAACATTTTCATCCTGACTTTTTTGTGTTTAAATCCCTGACAAAGCTTATTAAAGGATTGCAGAGCAGGGGACGGGGACTGATCCCAGCTGAAGAAGCACTGCTGCAGCAAGTAGCTGCCTCTACTCTACCCTGAAAAGAATCCGATGAGTGTGAAAACATGACGTATCACCACAACTGTAAAGGTTTAATACTTACTGATAGAGTCGATGCTGGCCACAATGGTGATGACAGAACGGTTGTAGTCATGGTCATTAAAGATGTTCAGCACCGTGGTCCCCTCTCGTCTAACACCTGATGTGCAAATGTAAAAACGCCTAAGTTCAATTATGTTTGGTAAGGTTGAATACTACAGAGAGAATAGTAAAGAAGATGAATCTCCAAACTTAGGGTAGCTGGTTTATAACTGCTTTAAGCCTATACTTTGGATTACCACGCGGCTTGAGAATAAAGTTTGGAGTAATTACTTTATTAGCAGCATATGACCAAATTGCTGGTACTAATTATCCTCAGACTTATTTATAATAATATTAACAAAAGACGAGGTTAGGTGACATTATGAAGTTGCAACACAATGGGATCATGGGAGTTGTTGTTGTCTACAACATCATTGCTGTTATCAAGCTTCTCCAGGTTAGGATTCCTTCAGTGATCATTATTTAGGAGATTGATACCAGAAAACTAATCCTCAGATATCTCATGATCACCAAAATAAGTGTTTCTCTGACGCAGCATGGCCAAAAAAAGATGTACAAGAGAGGTTGCAAACAGAGTGTGAATCCAGATGTTCAGGAAAATTTTACTGGGGGCCGTATTGTCTGTATACCTCTCCTCATCTCCAAAACGTACAGAGAAGGTGATTTAAACAGTTAAAAAGCCGTTTCCCAGCAGTTTAGCTCCAGCTAACATTGCTCTGCTTGGTTCTCTGAGAACTTAGTATCCAGATGTCTGATGACTAAATCCTCCACTCAGTTAAAATATAAAGTGTATCATAACAATATGACTTTAAACTGGATACAAATACCAGTCCCTTGTGCGAGAGATGCCAGGAGAATGAGGGGCTCCCCATCTCTCCTCATCCTCCTGGATCGGCAGCCTTCCAAAGGGTCGACCATCACTTCCTCCTTCAGCGCACCACTACACCACCGGACTCTCTGACTCCGCCCTGAGCTATCTATTCTATTCTATTCTATTGGCAGGTGCAAGGTCCCAGACACACCCTGTCACCTGTGGTGTCCCTCAAGGGTCGGTTTTCGGGCCCACTCTGTTCACCCTCTACACTCTGCCGCTTGGCCATGTCCTCAGCCAGCATGGAATATCCTTCCATTGCTAAGCTGATGACACGGAGTGATAAATAAAGACAGACCCTATCCCTATCCCACATGCAGCCTCACTGTCTTCATCATCCTTAAACATTTGGCTTGAGGAAATAGAGGTTTGGATGAAAGAAAACTTCCTGCAGGTCAATAGCTCCAAAACAGAGGCTATTTTAATTTTGACCAACCACTCATCCCCCATAACCCATATTGCCTTTTCTGGCCAAAACATACTCTTTTCCTCATTAGTTACCAACCTGGGTGTATGGTCGTCTGACCTTTGACACCCACATCAAACATCTGTGCAAAACCTCCTTCTACCACCTCAGGAACATTGCAAAACTCCGCCCCACACTCTCCCTGTCAGATGTTGAAAAACGGGTAAATGCCTTCGTCTCCTCGAGGCTCGACTACTGCAACGCTCTCCTCATCGGGACTCCTAGCAGGAGCCTTCAGAAACTCCAATACAGAACAGTGCCACTAGGATCCTGGTGAGATGATCACACCCATTCTTCACTCGCTCCACTGGCTTCCTGTCTCATTCAGGATCAAAAACAAGATCTCACTACTCACCCATCAGTGCATCCACGGGAACTCTCCTTCCTACCTCAAGGAACTACTCTCACCACAAACCTCCACATGCAACCTCCGTTCTACAACCAACCATCTGCTTCGCCCCCCCCCCCAGGACCCAGCTCCACACCATGGGGAATCGGCAGGGCCTACACGCCCTACACGCAGAACAAGTGCAGTGCGCAGGGGGCCTCATGTTATGTGCAAATACGGCAAATGTTTCCCCGAAGCGAGGCTCCGACACTAACAGTTCACGAGCATGCTCTACCACCCCCCCAATGTTTATGTGTGAGTGTTATGCCCTACTATAGCACTTTGGGATTGCTTTTAGCTATGAAATGTGCTTTACAAATACAATTTATTATTATTATTATTATTATCAAAAAGTCAATTTCTGACCGCCTCACATTATACCTTTAAATGTAAGGCAGGGTACAAATATAATTGTCCTTACCTTCAGTGTTGAATAAGGCTGCCTTGGCCACAGTCTCCACCAGGTCTTTGCTGCGAGCCTCAGACACGTTGAGGAGACACGCCACCAGTCTGCTGCCCAGAGAACAGGCCGCCATGCTGCAGCTGCTCAGAGGGGATGGGGAAAGGAAGGGCAAGGACCAGACTCAAGTTAACACAGGCTGAAGAACAGCCGCCCATTCAATATTTCACTTACACCCGAACAAAGCAAAGATCATATCTAATGTTAAAGTCGACTTCTTGAAAATGTGTCTTTGCTTCTACAGCATTACTTGTTCTGGTATCATGATCTAATGGTAGCTTTTGCTATCAAACTTTGCACAGACTCTACTGTGTATCTACAGTTACTGTCACTTTGATAACTGCTCTCAATTTGGTATAATTTAGCATTTAAGCAATATTCCATAATTGTCTCTTGTGGCCAATTTAAAACAAATGTATGGACTTACCTGCACCTTTAAATGTGTCACTATAAGCATTTAAGTCAATAACGTTTTTATTTGGTCTACTGTATCTGTTAAGTTTTGGCAATAAAGTCATTTACCAAAGGTTTGGCTACCATAAACTGCTGAATTGAACACTCAGTTCTTGAAATCTCCAGAAAATACATTGCCTCAGTGCAGCCTGTTGGAATTATCAAGTGTGCTGACAGTTTGTTTCCTACAGTTACAAAACATGTTCAAAGTCCATGCTGAAATAGGCTAACTCGCTACATCTGCAATTTAAAAATATAAATGTACCAACAGAATCCTTCCATGGAATGTGTGATACCTGCGTTACATTGAATAGTCTTTCATCATTAACATGGTCAGTGCGTTCTCTGCTGCTGTGCCTTGGGGAAATGCATAATTCACTGATTTCTGTACATAAAAACAAACAGAGAACTAACTTTAGTGCAGCTGCTGCCAGAGTCGATGCACGACTATTTGAACATGCAGACTTCAGTGCAAGATGGTTCACTACTGTTTCCAACCTAATGGGCTGGACAATGCAATTTTGCACCATGATGTCACTGTCACCTAATTGTTTTTTCTTTGTTCGATTTTGTGAATTATTGTGTATTGTTTGATATATATATCTAGGAATGTTATGCTTACATTGGCTTACTTTTTTTTATTTTTTATAAATGGATCCCGAAAGACATTAATAAATGATGAGTATGTTGTTTCCTGCTGTTGCTTGATATGTTTTTTATGTAATATTTATGTTTATATTTGTTTCATATTTATTCAATGATAGCCTACTCAGCCTTCGACTGACTGAATGGTGTGGTGTGGTTGACTGAATAGTCAAAACGGAAGTCGATAGGAGTATATGATCTCGACACACTAACCTATCTTTGAAATCAGGAAAAAAAAGGCATGCGCAGAAGTGCTAGCGGTTTGCTGGCAGTTAGCTCTGGCTTTGCTGGCTGTCTGATAAACAGCGCCTCTGCGTGGACAAAACTACCCATTACTGTCAGAATTAAGTATAGTATAGGGAGATTCTGGAACTGCAAAGGACTGCCAGCGGATATAGAACAGTGTGAAATTATAAGCATTTCGGCTACAGCTACTTACAGGCGTCATGTTTTGACGTTAGCAGCCGATAACGAGATGCTAACAGAGACAGCTATCTGTTAGCTAGCTGACAGCCGTACCATGGAATGACTGCAGAGAGGACAACAAATCCGATTATTATTTAGAGTCCATGCTAGCGTTGACAGTTAGGTTCACTCTATTATCTGTGGCAAAAACGATGTCCTCTGTAGCAACCATGACACCCTCTGAACCCCCGGGGAGCCGGGAGGCAGGGGCCGGGAGCCCGGAGCAGAGGCTCCAGAAGCTATTGGCGGTACCCGGAGCCGAGCCGAGCCGAGTGAACGACTTGCTGCTGCTCCGGCCCGAAGCTGCCACTGAGCCGGGGGAGAGGAGAGGCAACAGGCATGTGGTGTTTTTTCACGGGGATATCCAAGTGAGTGGGATGGAGGTTAGACACATATTATAAGCAGTGTGTGGTGACCTCAGGTTATCCAACAGAAAGGTGATGGCTGGCCTAACTGAGTGATTTTAGTCACTTTAACTTTTTATTTTGTATTTAGCGATATAGGAGTTACAAGTGCATACGCGTACAGTGTCACATATACACAGAAGACAATGAGCATTTACAAGTATACAAGACAAATAACATATACATGGAGACGTGTGTGTGTGTGTGTGTGTGTGTGTGTGTGTGTGTGTGTGTGTGTGTGTGTGTGTGTGTGTGTGTGTGTGTGTGTGTGTGTGTGTGTGTGTGTGTGTGTGTGAGAGAGAGTGTGAGTGTGAGAGAGATTAGACAAAAAGAGAGTAATAATAAATGACAAAATTATAATTAAAATGAAATGAGTAACAATATAATAGTCATATATCCTAGGAAGGGGGGGGGGCATATAAATAGTAGCATGACCTTAAAGAAGTAGAAAGGGGTGGTGGCTGGAATCGGATTAATGAATTAAATGTATCAATGAATGGGTTCCAGATTGCATCAAAATCATTGGTTTGTTTTTTTATGCCGGCAGATCATTTTTCCATTTTTCCATTTCCAGGTTTTTCCAAATTGTGACATTGCTTTTCTGACGTGATTTCCAATTCATGAGGATAGTTTGTTTTGCAATGATTAGGGCTATGGACAGAATTCTACTTGATGTAATGTTGATGTTCACATTGGAAATGTCTCCTAGTAAACAAAGGGATGGAAAAAGAGGGATGTGGCAGTGCAGCAACAGAGAGAGGTTGTCAGTGATGTTAAGCCAGAATTGCTTAACTGGTGTGCATTCCCATGTGGCATGCATGTAGGTGTCTGTGGTGTTAAGTTTATCATATTTCTTATCACTAAACCAACAACAAACAGAGAAGTTGCAGGCAATGTTTTCAGAATTGTGAATATGCATTTGCCAACCCGATCAAACAGCTCCAGCTTTTCAAATAGTATATTTTATTATAACGTTTTTCAACACATCACAATCAGTCAAAATGGTCAACGTTGGGGACACTTGGTTTTGACTGGAAAGTATGAATATGTGGAACGTGTGAAGTAAAACTGTAGTAGTATAATACTGTACAAAATGGTGATACTCAATAAAGTAAAAGTATTTTGAATGTGTACTTTAGTGCAGTGTTGAGTACATACATGTAGTTACATTCCAGCACTCCACCCACTAACGTTTTAATCCTGGACTTGAGTTTATGAAGCCACACAATAACAATGGGCTGATTTACTAAGAAATATAGATTTGATTTGATTGAGTTATTATTATAGTATATTATTTAAAGTGGACCTATCATGCTATATTTAAATGATATATTGTAGGGCCATACCTATATAAGGTATATTTATACGTTTCTGTTTTCAAAATACCAAACAGATCATGATTTTAAGCCATGCCTCATTTCGCTCTATGTGCTGTTTGCTGTCTACGGGTCTGATTCTGCTGACCACACCCCCCTGCAGGAGAGGTGAGACGTGCTCTGATCAGCTGCTGGGCTGTCAGAAGAGGGGGAGAAAAAGAGATCTCCGTCCTCCGTGTTTTATTATATAGAGTCGTTATTCATTTGTTTTAAAGCTCAATAAATAACAAAGAAGACCTTTGACCGGCACTTTTCTAATTTTGTCCGGAAGATTTAAACTTTAACGGACATCTTGACCGGCGAAAGAAACTGAAACTGAAACTCTGCCGCACGGTCCCCTCGTTCCTTGGAAGAGGCGGAGAGGTGGGTGTTTGTCATCTGCTGGTGGACTAACCGGAGAGAATTACAGTGCTTGCCTCGACGGGGAGGGATTGCATTGAATTAAAGCAGCGGGAGCAAACGCTTGCCTCGGGGAGGGAGAAAAAAAGCCAAAGCGGAGAATAAACAGAAGGGTAACCATGGTAACTATGGGCGGGAAGTCTTCTTCGCTGCTTTTGTGGCAGACTACAGCGCCACTTACAGGCCTGGCATATGTACTACAGCGTCTCCAGCGCTTTCGAGCGGCAATGGCCGGCCGTGGCCCAACCCCACATTCCCCTGATTGGTGGAGTTGGCCCAATAGCCGTAGCGCCACCGTCCTGACGTCAGGACAGTGTTCAAATCTGGATCAGTCTGTATCAGATCCGTTGCAGCCCCTTTTTTAGAGATTTGGGTATGGAGGAACATAGAGAGGGTTGTGTTTTCTGACACTTGGTGAGTTCCCTGGAACACCGGGGACACATATTCATGTATAAAAGACGTACAAAAGTGCATTTTGCATGATAGGTCCCCTTTAAGATTGAAACAATGTAAGGTGTTATACAATTGATGTCCTGGTGTATTTCTTTCATGTGCTGCTATACGGCTCACTGATGCTGAAATATGTGTTTCTAGGTAATGGCATGTGTTTTTCTGATGTGAAAACCTTGCACACATCACGTGACTCCTTATAGGTGTCATGAAAGCTTATCATCAGATTGAGTCCTGTGTTTTACCTCCAATTGTTGGTTATTCACACAACTAAAATGACAGGTGTTATGTCCTCTTCTTCACTCCATGGGTTCATTTTGCTGTACTTATTTGGATTAATTAATTTATTATTCACCAACTGACTGACTTATTCAAGAAATTGCCTTTTACGTTCATCAGAAGGTCAATTACCTGCTCTTACCGTAATACCTAGTGCATACACTTACCGTAAAACAACAACAGGGCTAACTTGACAGTCTCCTTCCATGTGGAGGCTGGCCTCCTCCATTTCCACACACACACACACACACACACACACACACACACACACACACACACACACACACACACACACACACACACACACACACACACACACACACACACACACACACACACACACACACACACACACACACACACACGTTTAGGTAATGGCACTATTTAGTTCTTGCAGAGCTGTGGACTCTGAGCTCATGTGAGGCTGCCAGTGTGATGAAGGCAGTCGTCCCTGGAGTGTTGGACACAGTGCAGAGCATGATGCTGTATCAGACATGTGATGTGTTTCAGTGTGTACAGCCTCTCTCTGTGTGTTGTGTGCAGAACTTCCAGGAGGAGATGTCCCTGCAGCCTGACGGGGCCCCGTGGCTCTCCTGGAGTCTGGAGCAGGTGGCCCTCACTCTGGGCCGCCGCTTCCCCGACCGACACGTCTGGGTGGTGCGGGCCTCACGCATGCACCTCCACAAGTTCAGCTGCTATGTGAACTTCGTGGACAGCAACATGTTCGGGGCCCCCGAGCACGGGCCCTACTCTGCTGACTGTGGATCCTTCCGTCACCTCAGGTCTGTTTGTCTTCATAATCTTCTGTTCTCCCATCAGATCCGGCCCTGGGTCCACAGAGCGTCTGTTTCTTTAGGGGGGGGGGGGGCTGACAGGGTGCTGGAGCCTCCTCCCAGCCATTCATCAGAATGAATACATCTCCAGTGCCTTTTTTATCACAAACTCGCTTTGACATTGTTCTTCCACATAATAATAACAAATTGCAAGATTCTTGCTCTTACACTTAGTATGACTGAGCTTTCAGAGCTCCGTCTGACAGCCATAGAGCGAGGAGGATGTGAAGTACAACACTCCCCGGCTCATCTGACCAACACTACAAGTTTTTTGGCATTTGATATCGTTTCTGTCTGAAAGACACGGTCAAAACTAGCTTCTCCTCCAATTTCTACCGTGATATTACTTGCACTTTTCTTAAAAAGTCAAGATATTTCCAGCTCAAAGCGCTCAGAAGCTCCACGTTTTTCCGTGGCTGCTTGTGACAGCGCTCACTAGAAACTATTGACAAGAAGACGCTGATGTGGACTCAGGCTGAGCCAACATGTAGCACGCACTACAGCTCCTAGCACTAGGATGGGTTAAAATGCAGAGGTCAAATGTCACTGTGTGCATGTATTTGTGACCATTAAAGAGGGTTTCATCCTCCAATTGTGTCTCTGACAGGCTCCACACTACAGGTTACTGCAGGCTGAGAGTGTTGTGCTGAGTCAGCTCTGTTTGTGATGTTGCAGGGCCCTGCTGAGTCACGGCATGCAGCGAGCCAACCTGCCAGACCCGCTGCAGCCACAGGGGGGGGCTGACGGCGTCCCCTCAGGGTTCTCCCTCACACTGGTGGGATTCAGCAAAGGATGCGTGGTGCTCAACCAGGTTGCGTACGAGCTGGCGGGGGCCCGTGCTGACCCCGATATGTCCCACTTTGTGAAGAGCATCTCTGACATGTACTGGCTGGACGGGGGGCACCCAGGGGGCAGTGAGACCTGGGTGACCAACAAGCGGGTGCTGAAGGAGCTGGCCTCCAGCAAGGTGTCCCTTCACGCCCACGTCACCCCCTACGAGGTGTGCGACCCCATGCGGGCCTGGGTGGGCCGCGAGCACGCGCTCTTCATCAAAACCCTGGAAGAGTTTGGGGCCTGTCCCAACAAGAAGCTGCACTTTGAGGGCGAGCCCCCCTCCATCCAGAGCCACTTCAGGGTCATCCAGGAGTTCTGAGTTTGCTTTAGCTTGTGAGAGTCGTATTAGCTGCTCCTGGCACCTGCTGCTGTTTGTCCTTGCTTCTGTTGAACCCCCCAACCAACAATGGAGATCTGATTTGGAGTAGAGTTTGGTTCCAACATGAATGATTGTTGTTGTTTATGAGGAATGTTATCTTCTCAGGTGTCCATGAAGTGTCATTTTGAGACTTTTATTCTAGGGATTCTTGACTTACGTTTACATGCTGGGCCTTACTTGGTCAACTAGTTTGAGAAAGTTCTGTTGTCTGTCCTGTAGTTTGATGCATACTGTTCACTAATAATCATATGTTTTTGTTTAAAAATGACATTCCAGTTAGTTTCTGTTCTGGAGCGTTCCCTCACCTCATGATCATTCAGCAACAGAAAGCCCTGCTGATGGACATCGTGTGCACGTAGATGAGAGATGTTGTCAACTGTTGTCTTCGACTTTGACAAGGAACTTGTCTTTCATTTGTGTTGCTGTTACAAGCCGGCTCATCTAATGACAAACTTTTGAATTTTACGTTTTTTATTTGAATTATAAACAGAGCAGGTTCACATGCTGTCTATTTGATGGAACTTATCCTCACAAAATACCAAACTATCTTATCAATTATGATTTGTTTCATGGCTAAAGGAACTGTTATATCATAGCCATAAGCTTTTTATTAAACTAAAATAGGTTTGAATGTATTCTGTACAATGTTTTCCAGTCGATACGACCTCTGTCAGCTTCTTTGCACTACGCTGACCACTCATTCAGCTGAATGTCACTTCAGATCATTCCACTGTGTTTACTACTTACAATGTGGATACAATGCATACAAGGAGATACCATTATCTTTTAAGTTATTGACCAACCAAAGTAACTTCTTATTAACCCTCTGCTTGCTAATTGGTATTCACTGTCACCATGATATTGTGTCCTGGTTGCTAATATATAATATGTTAGTCACTATTGAACACCACAGATGGTGTAGCTTCATACAGGACAGTTCCAGCAGGGGGCAGCAGTGAGGTGGAAGTATGGTTGACTCGAGGCAAGAAACAGACAGAGACAGTCAGATATGTTCTACAACCTTTAATGAGCGATCCAGTTTGCTTTGTGATGCCTACATGTTAGCCTGCAGTTGATCAGAATAGAAAACAATACGGATTATGTCTTTTTTGTCAATTCAGATGCATTCAGAATGCTCATACATAAAAGAACAAATATAAAATGCAAATTAAACAAACATCTGGAACATGTCTTTGTGGCTGGTTTTGAGTGTAACCCAGTGTCCACACACACACACACACACACACAAAATCACTTTTTTCCAACTTGAGGTATTAGAAAAGTTTATATTTCAGATGAATTAAGATTCAAGCTTGTTTCCTGTTACAGTATCAGAAGAGCTCTGGCTCTTATATAAACAGCTGTCTGGAGGAAACCCTTCCAAGCAGCCTAATGGAATCTTCCACCTCTGTGAGGATCAAATACCCGTCCAGAGGAACATCTTTAACAGTGTGGTGTGTTCCAGTTTTTGAAGAATGACAGCATACAGATGACAGCATGGCTGTGGCTGGAGACACCCTCCCCCCCCCACACACACAGGCCATGGTACCAGCTGGTGACGACAACAAACAACACAATGAGCTCTCATTGGCTTTGGCACCTCGGAACAGAGGAGGAATGTTTGAGTGGAGGAGCAGCTGCACCTCAGATCTCACATCTCTTTCTAAAACCCAAATCATTCCCACTTTCTCATCCCTACATACATCTTTACACTTATCACAACTTCATTAGGAATACCCCAAAACTATACCATCAAACACATATTTCCAGTCTTTCTCTTCCTCCTGACCTCCTCTCTCTTTACTTCCTGGTTACCACCTGAACAATCTGTCCTTCACTTCCATCTTCCCAACTCACTGCAGTCAAAACTGTATTCTTTCATCACACTGGAAACAGCTTGTTTTAAATAACACCTTCATCATCCTCTCACACTTCCTAATAAGACACGTGAGCACATTATTTACATACAAATATGAGTCCAGCACATAAATAATAATAATAATAATAATAATAGGCCTATAAGAATAACATTAAGAATACAAAGTGAGCAGAGAGAGAGCAGCATGCCCTGAGATGAGTGAACAGGAATACATTGAGCGCTGGCTTCATGAAGGAAAGTGAATGGCTTGGAGGGGCTGAAGAACACAGCTTCAGTAATGGCTGGCCTTTGGGCTCATCACTTTAATGTGTGCTGATGAGGTAAGTGCTAAAGTCGTGTGTCTCCGGCTAACAGAGAGGAACTTGGCAGCTGAGGAAGTGATGTGAGTACACGTGCGGGCGTGGTGTGTGAACGGCTGCATGACTCACTGTTCTCTCAGCCACTAGTTTGAACTTTCTATGTCAGGATAAACAGGAATGCTGTGTCATTATTGCTCATGTTCAGCCCTTCTTTGAAGCAGTAACAAAGTGTATTTCAAGTGGAAGCTGTTCAGCTCTTTGGGAGGGAGCTATGCTATTGTTGGACTTAATGAGTTTTATCTACAAACCTGAGCTTCATTTCAACCCAAACATATGGAATGTAATGCATGTGTGTTATCCAGCCCCTCTGCTGGTTCTTTTTAAAGTCCAAGCAGCTTCAAAACAGTGTGTAGTTATCGACAGCAGCGTATTTTACGGACTTGAATCACATGTAACCAAAGTCAAAGGGCTTCCTATAATGCAGCGGTACATAAAGATAAGGTCAGCCTTCCCCTTTACACTGGTGCTTATCTGAATATCACCTTTGTGCTGAAGCTGCAGTGACTAAGAACACTTTTCACTTCCCACTTTAAGGCAGAGCGCTATTAACTGCTTTCTGGAGAAAATAGATTTGAAAATGCACGACATAAGAGTTGCATAGAGATCCCTGGAAACAGTCCACACTAGCCCCCATCAGCACAGGAGCAGCCAAACACTGACACAGAGTGGGCTGACAACAGCTACATGATTATTAGGAAAGGTTTGAAATACTTAAGGTTAAACACACAGCATTCATTGAAAGCTTCTGTACAATTGTCACACTTTTTATCAGTGATGGATCAGTGATGGATCTCAAGATTTAGCTGGTTATCTTTGGTCTGAAAGGTCCATCATGGAATTGAGCTATTAGTGAAATATAAACACAATGGAAGTACTTAGAATGGTGACAGACAGCTGGTTTTCTGGAGGTTTAAAATGATTTATAAGCTCACAGGAAGAGGCCTCCGCCTGCATTCCTCCTGTTTCCACCTTTGACTTTTCAAAAGTCACCGTCTCCAGCGGCGGGCCTTTCCTCGTCGAAGCGAAACTTTTTAGCGTGCGAGTGGGGCGACTCCAGGAAGTTCTCCTTGTCCTCGGGGTCCTCGGCTGGGGCCCCCCACTTGGTGCCGCAGCTTCTCTCCCGAACAGAGCGGGTGGATGCGGGCTCGGGGCTCAGACACAGCTGCCACAGCCAGGGGTGGCTCATACACTCTGCAGCGGTGGGCCTGTCCCTGGGGGGGGGGGGACGACAAACAGTCACCTTCAGTACAGGGTTAGTTATTGAAAACATAAAAAAGCTTTAAAAAAAAAAAAGACATGACCAAGAGAAAGAGAAATATTTGATGTTGTTTATGTTTGTATGTTTTCTCCACAACATGTAGCAGGTCCATAGGAACCCAAAGACTTGTGGGAATATAGATGTGCTTTATTTACTTTCATTTAGTAGTGTTCATTTGTCAAAGTGAATAAATCGGTTGTTTACAGGAGACAATGTGGAGAAAGCACCATGTACACTAACACCTGCAGTATGTTCAAAGTGACACCAAGAGAGTCCGAAGGACCAGAGGCCTGTACTACGAAGCCGGTTCAACATAACCTGGATATGTTTGAGTTAGCCGGTTGGCCTAATCCAAAACATACGCGCTGGCGCTAAACTGTACTACGACGCTGGTTATCAAGAGGATCGCTCAAGCCGCCGTGTCCTATCTAGTTAGGTGCGCGTTCACATGAAAGGGGTTGTATTTGGAGCATTCGACCAATCACAAACATGGACAAGCGTACTGACAGCGTAGCGTCATACTTCCTGAATGAAAAGTGAACTTTAATATTAGTCAAATATGAAGAAGTTAAACTTTAAACATCCATGACTTAAACACTTTATCCAGGATCAAAGCCACATAGCTGCACCTGCAAGGTGAATACAGCTGGTAAAAGAAAAAGTGTTTGAATGCGTACATTAACAGGTTTATGATATCACTGCCCCGTCCAAGACACGAGTGGATCTGACTTTAATTACATTTGACTCGAGTGTTTCGTCAACTTAATGTGTTGCTTAAAATAATACTTCTGCATACAGTATGTGACACTGTGAGTGTTGCACGGCCAGATACGGCTCAAGAAGCTGACTCAGATAAGGAAATATATGATACATTATGATGTGATATGATATGAATGATAATGGGACACATCGACGTCTGCACTCACAGTGCAGCGGACTGTACGTAATGTTACTTTGATCCGGTTACTTATGTTGTGGCAGATATTTAAGTAAGCTTTCTTAACGCTAATGTTATAATAGTCAGATTGCTCTGAAGATGGGAGGTGATATTCTATTCATTTTCACGTTCACACAGTCAGTTGATTTTTGCCGGCCGTTTTTCCTGCAACGGCAGTTTTTCTGTATTTCCTCTATCCTGTAATATGACTTGATAGCTTTAAACTCCGCACACACGGAGCTCTGATTGGTCAGCAGGCGGTGCTTTCACTGAGGCGCCGTTTACACGAGGAGAAAACTGCTTGTATCTGCATAGTTTCGCGTGCGTATAGCCCTATTATTTACACGAGGCCGATAGAAACTGACCCCACAAACAATAACGGGTCCCAAGGTGGATAGATTTGCAAACGAAACGCTCTGGGGGGTCAACCGAGTCTGTGTAATCACCTCGATACGAATATTTCCTGAAAAAATAACGATAGCCCCGCCTCTCCCCACCTCTCCTGCAGCAACTATCAAAAATAGCTGTGTTAATTAAACGCACAAGGGGTTCTTGAATGAAATAATATTATAAAAGGCAAACCAGAATTGTTAACGCCCAATATACTCCTTAAACAAAATAAACAGAGTCAGATTTCATGCATTGATCCATTATATTGACAAAGGAGGATCTCACCCGGTGTTTGTAGAGAATATCTCTCTCTGAGTCGTCCTCTCCACGGAGACCTTCTTGGTCGGGATGCAATATCCACAGATTCGGTTTCTTTCAGTTTCAGTTTCAGTTTCGGGGCTTAAACAGAAGGGTAGCCATGGCAACATTGCAGCGGGGCTGCTCGGTTGCTCTTCTTCGCGGCTTTTGGTGTATTTTGGCGGAAGTTACAGCGCCACTTACAGTCCCAGAATATGTACTACAGCGTTTCCAGCGGCCTCGTTTGAACAGACACGTTAAATGAAACTAATGCATGTGAACGGAAGACTTTTTTGAATACGCATACTGTGCATAAACGCAAACGGTCCCGTGTGAGCGGGGCCTGAGTTGATCTCTTAGCCTGCAACCTAACCTCCTCCCGAGGAGGTTAGCCGCTCAGCATAAGTTACCATGGAGATCTAGCCCGCTAAAAAGAGAACCAGCGTCGTAGGACCGGAAAGCCCGAGTTTTCCCTGAAGTTAGCGCGCTAAGCGAAAATCCGGCTTCGTAGTACAGACCTCTGGAGAACCACGCTCAAGGTAGAGGGTATATTCTTGGCATTATTGGGCAATAATCCCGTAATACCCTCTCAGTTTAACTTGGATGTTACCCTGGGGTATTTTTCCATCTTGTGGAAAATGCCCTCATCTTTGTGTCTGAGCTGAGCACACTCACTCGGGCGTTTTGACCAGCAGCTTGCGGATGAAGTCCACAGCGAGCTCGGACACTCTGGAGAAGGCCTCCATGCTGTAGTCCACGTTCACCTGTGACACGTTCAGGTACGTCTCCTGCTTGTCGTCACCGACAAACGGAGACTCGCCCGTCACCAGCATGTAGGTGATCACCCCCACACTCCTGAGGAACACATGAAGAAGAAGAGTCAGAGCATGTGGAGGAGCTGTGGCTCGTTCACTCTATAAAAAGTCCTATTTTCATAACTTTGGCCACCACAAACGTGAGAACAAAGGCGACTATTAAAATAATGATCCAACGTGTAAACAGCTATTAGCTTTAGCAGAGCTACTTAGAGGTGTGTGGTTTTACACTGTAATGGATAACCTTCATTTTTGTTTGAAGACATTTGGTTGAAAGGTAAAATGATGGCATGTCATTGGTCACAAAGTGTCAGCCACTCACCACAGGTCGGTGGCTGTTGTGATGGGCTCATAGTTCAGGATCTCTGGAGCTGAATAAAGACATGAAGCAAAAAGTCTGTCGTCATTCAATATTACAAGAATGTCTCCTGTATGTCATATCTTTTCATACCTGCTGTTGTTTTTGTCACCACTACTGACGTCTTATATTTCTGTTGTGTCTTTGTTGTTATTCAAAACAACAATTAAAGTCACAAAGGGCTGACAGCAGGGTTTGTGAACCTGGAACCTGTTCCTCACACCCTGCTGATCCTCTGAGACCCAAAGACACATTCACTGTTGACAACTAATACAGCAAAGAACTTCCATTTCAGATCAGTCATAGACTACATATTACCCAGTGAGATGCAATACAATGGTGTGATAGAACGTATGCCTGTTGAAGCTCTCAGCTATTATTTGAGAGAGGTGCCGTTTCAGTTTTATAAAGTAGGGAGTCCCTTTACAGCTGATCTAGGACCTGGTCGCTAATGAACAGCAGGGCTCTGTGGTTTAGCGTGGGGACAATACATGATACATCCTTTTTATAACACTATTATTACTTTTATTATGCGTTATTATCTGTTTCACCTGTCAAATCTGACATGTTCTGTGAACCTGTGGATGTTTGAATAAGTTTGAGTTCCCCTCTGGAGGACGCTTCTCTCTGCGAGCAGCAGTGTGCTGCCCTGGTCTGAGCGTGTTCACCATCAGCTTACCCACATACTCCGGCGTTCCCAGGATCTCTCGGAGCTCTCCGACCGCTCCCAGCCTGCGGGCCAGGCCGAAGTCTACGATCTTTATGTCGCCCGGAGGAGAGAGGCAGGTCAGCAGGATGTTCTGCGGCTGAGGGAGAACGAGGCGCAGAGGTGAACAGCATGCAGAGCAGCAGCCGGAGATAACACTGTCTTTACATAACAGAGTATAACTCTTTGAACCTGTACTCAGTAACGTGTGTTTACCGTTCTGAACATTATTTATACAAGTGCTGAGAACACACTGACCATATGACACTGTGTCAACACTGCTATTATCAATGAAAGCTAATTCCACATTCAGTATGTGCTTTCTGAGTGGACAATATGACTGGAGAGATGTGTGATTGCTGCGATGTAGCCGCACTGCGATCGACCTATTGGGCGCCCCTGCTCTACAACCATTACTCCTGAAGACATTATCACTTCATTCTGTCACAACACTTTGAGTTGACAGATCTTTGTAGTGACAGTCATTTCATACGTCAAGAGTCTCCATGTCCTTCCTAAAGTTTCATATTTCTATGGATAGATTTGATTTGAAAACAAATGCATTAACCCTTATGACAAACGCAGAAACTGATGGTGCATCGTTATATTTTATATAATTTATTCCAGTAGCGCCTGATTAAAGTAAGCTGATGTTTTTTTTATTTTGTTTATTAATCATGCTTAGATTCCTTTTTCAAGTATGTAATGCAGCCTAATTGTTAACTGGGTAAGAGTGTGAAGGACCAGCTGATATCTTCAAATGGTTTAATATTGAGTCAGAAAAATAAAGAAACAGAAATGCAGGCTCCACACATGCATGAAGCATGTGAAGCCCTGAGCAGCTGCTGCGTGTTCAGGTGAGCTGCCATGTAAAGCCTCAGTACAGATTACAGGGTGTAGTGACGTTGCCTTCTTTACAGAATCACTTACCTCTTTTCAATCCTATTTCTATATACTTTCTTTTTTGCGATGTCTTTGAATTGCTTTTTTTTCATTATTTTCTTGAAATCTGATTTCCTTTTTTTTTTTATCTCTCATCATAGTTTGTCTTGTCTCTACCATGTGTCTCTGTGTCTAACCTTTGTTTTGTGTCGCTGTTGTAAGCTTCACTGTTTCTCTTGTTATTTGGCCTTTATTCCATCTTGTGCTTTGTTAGTCAACGCACTTTGTAAACTGAAGCTGCTTTACAAAAACCATCACAATGCCTTAATAATGTAAACATGATGTTAGTGTGCGGTTGAGCTTTGCCCTGTGCAAGGCTTCTTGTTCACCTCTAACCCCAGCTCTGGGCACAGAAACAGGAAGATGGGCTTTAGAGTCCACAGCTTCTCTAAAAAACAATACACAGCCGAGCACTTAAGAGGGAAGTCTGTGTTGAAGCGTGTGAAAAGGGTTTCGCTACGCTCCAGCTACAGTGCGTGTGTGCTTGTGTGAGTGAGTGTGAGTGAGTGTGTGAGTGAGTGAGTGTGTGAGTGAGTGTGTGCAGACCTTCAGGTCCAGGTGCACCAGGCTGCTCTGGTGCAGGTGATGGACCCCCTCCAGAGTCTGTCTGATGAGTCTGGTGATCTGGGCCTCTGGCAGCAGCTCCTCAGACATACAGTGGTCAAATATCTCTCCACCGGCCGCACTTCAACACACAGGTACACACATCACACACTCCTCTACCATCATGTCCGAGGAGCGTAAACACCAGGCACGTTTGTTACATTCAATGTTGTTTGTAACATGCCTCAGTTGAATACCCAATTCTTATCTACGGTATGTGACTAAAGGAAACATACCTTTTACTCCATCAGAAAACACAATGCAATAGTTTTTGAATATTCATTTTTAAATTTGGATTTGTTACGGCAGAACTGTCTCTAGTGAGGAAAGAAAGAGACACCCGAAGAAGAAAACAAGAAAAGGAAAGAGGTTAAAAGACTCAGAGCTTGGCGACAGAGAAATCAGCAGAACACAGACAGGAAGTAAACACTAAAGGGAACAGCAGAAGAAGACAGACAGGAAGTACACACTAAAGGGAACAGCAGAAGAAGACAGACAGGAAGTACACACTAAAGGGAACAGCAGAAGAAGACAGACAGGAAGTACACACTAAAGGGAACAGCAGAAGAAGACAGACAGGAAGTACACACTAAAGGGAACAGCAGAAGAAGACAGACAGGAAGTACACACTAAAGGGAACAGCAGAAAAAGACAGACAGGAAGTACACACTAAAGGGAACAGCAGAAGAAGACAGACAGGAAGTAAACACTAAAGAGAACAGCAGAAGAAGACAGACAGGAAGTACACACTAAAGGGAACAGCAGAAGAAGACAGACAGGTAGTACACACTAAAGGGAACAGCAGAAAAAGACAGACAGGAAGTACACACTAAAGAGAACAGCAGAAGAAGACAGACAGGAAGTACACACTAAAGGGAACAGCAGAAGAAGACATACAGGAAGTAAAGACTAAAAGGAACAGCAGAAGAAGACAGACAGGAAGTAAACACTAAAGGGAACAGCAGAAGAAGACAGACAGGAAGTAAACACTAAAGAGAACAGCAGAAGAAGACAGACAGGAAGTACACACTAAAGGGAACAGCAGAAGAAGACAGACAGGTAGTACACACTAAAGGGAACAGCAGAAAAAGACAGACAGGAAGTACACACTAAAGAGAACAGCAGAAGAAGACAGACAGGAAGTACACACTAAAGGGAACAGCAGAAGAAGACATACAGGAAGTAAAGACTAAAAGGAACAGCAGAAGAAGACAGACAGGAAGTACATACTAAAGGGAACAGCAGAAGAAGACAGACAGGAAGTACACACTAAAGAGAACAGCAGAAGAAGACAGACAGGAAGTACACACTAAAGGGAACAGCAGAAGAAGACATACAGGAAGTAAAGACTAAAAGGAACAGCAGAAGAAGACAGACAGGAAGTACACACTAAAGGGAACAGCAGAAGAAGACAGACAGGAAGTAAACACTAAAGGGAACAGCAGAAGAAGACAGACAGGAAGTACACACTAAAGGGAAGAGCAGAAGAAGACAGACAGGAAGTAAACACTAAAGGGAACAGCAGAAGAAGACAGACAGGAAGTACACACTAAAGGGAACAGCAGAAGAAGACAGACAGGAAGTAAACACTAAAGGGAAGAGCAGAAGAAGACAGACAGGAAGTACACACTAAAGAGAACAGCAGAAGAAGACAGACAGGAAGTACACACTAAAGGGAACAGCAGAAGAAGACAGACAGGAAGTAAAGGGAACACGGTACGGGCTCTGGCAGTGTTTCAGGACTTGTTAGTGGAAGACACTGAACAGACAGACTTGGACAGTTACAGCAAACCTCGATCAGTGCTGCCCTTATTTTAAGATGCGTTGCTATCAGTTATAAATTAATAACATCAAGTTAGAATCAATATATTGTGTGAGTTTATTGAATGATGTAGCAAGTCGGCGTGTAATAAGCGGGATAATGTGCAGTGAGCCGGTCAACAATGAGAAAAGAACCCCTTCAGGGTGATTCAGGAGCCTGAAAGGGTTCTTTCTGCTATAGTGACCGGCTCACTGCACATTATGCTTACTTGTATGTGATGCACTTTACACGGGAGAAACAGGAATATACAGTTTTCATGGAGTGCAGGGAGGCCTGGTTTCAGAGTGTTATTGAGTCAAAAGGCCACCTCCTTCCTGCTGACTCACTGTAGGTAAGAGAGCTGAAGTTGACAGTAAGCCCTACAATGTTACGCTGAGTACAAGGTCCACCTGATTTTATTACATTTCCGGTTATTCAACTTTCTAATTTGGTATTTTCTTAGCCCTCATTGAGCTGCCCAGGCGTCTAGAACAAACAAAGTGAATGGTTAAAGCCGCCTCTGCTCAGGAAGGGATTACAGTGTCTCCAACAACAAGTATTAAGGTGTGGTTAGAAAATCTGAGCAATTCACTTATCAAACAACCCTTTTGCATTCTCATTTACAATTTGCAACTCTCTTCTAGTTTCCTTTTTGATGGTACAAAGAAAACCGGATATATGACATGCCATAAGAAGCCCTGAAGTTCTGCTGCTCCAGTTCTATGTCTACAATTCTTTCTTAGTGATCTGAAAAGGTGAAAAAAATTGTTCTGCAAGGATACGCTTACTTCCTTCATTACGTTTCATCTTTTAAAACAACAGTTTGTTTGGTGAATTATTTCCCAAAAGAGTATAACAATAACAAACACTAAGAAATGATCCTGAAAGTAAAAGGAACTACCTTCAAAAACCCCCAACTCCTTTCACAGATGAAAGCTTTTGATTTTGAGATGATCCCGTCCAAACCCTGTGTTCATCTGGTTTGAGGTCATAGACACAGTAGAGGAAAAATAATAAAGCTTTGGTGAAGGTCAAGAGGTCAGGCCCTGATGCCTATGAGGATGTTTATTCAGGTCTACCAGAGCTGGAGTTTCAGCTCAAACTGAACAGTAATTTGAGCTAACATTGCTTTAGTCTCAAAACAAATAAGTCCTGATAAACCTGTTAGTGAGAATGAGCATTACATAAACAATATGAGTGAGCATGGCAGCTCCTTAGGATTGGGCAAACAGGACTTTGCCCTAACACAGTATTTACAAGATCATGCTGTTTGCTTGTAGGAACATGTATCCAGTGTGAGACAAATCAGATGTACCATACATTTAGTTTAAGTGTCACTGGTTGTGTAGTGAACTCACTATTCCAGCATGAGGACGATGTCGTGGTCCGTCTCGTACGCAGCGTGCAGGTTGACCACGCGGGCGTTGTTGCGGGCCGTCTCCAGAACCGCCATCTCGTGGATGACCTCGGCCCGGCAGTCACGACCTCGCCTCCTCTTCCGGAGGAACTTGGCAGCAAACACTTTCCCCGTGGCCTTCTCCACACATCGCTTCACCACCGCAAACTTTCCCCTGGAAAGCAGAAAGTGGACGTATGTTAAGTTATGAAAGTTAATATATTTTTATTTTGTAATGATTTATGGCAGCATAGCAGTTTAATCCTGCACAAAAGTATATTTATTTTTATTTCAAGCAGGGTTAGGCCCACAAACTGATGGTGTTCAGGGTTAATGACATACAGCCATTTGTATCTAACACAAGATCTTGGTGTTAATGCACTGTCTTACACTTCAGTGAACATGTGCTACATGCTAGGGACAGATTTAAAAAGAAGAACAAAAAGAGGGGCAAATCAAAAGAGCAGAGCTGAAGATATTCAGACTTAAGGTTTCTATGAGTTAAGCCCCATTATGCAACTGAGTAATATTCCGTTACTCTCCCTTACCAGTAAATGCCACACCTGTCAAACGTCATGCCTCCTGTCATTAACTTATAACCACTGATGATGTCCTCACGAGTATTTCCTCTTGCTAATAAACAACTGTTTATAGGTTTTTTGAAATACTCCTCATGAAAGGTACCTTTTTTGAAATAGTGGAAGATGGCCCCCATGAAACATCTGCTTATCATGTGGTTATGGCTTATATTCCAATGGACTGCATTTATATAGCCCTTTACGTCCACTTAAACCACTCACAGTTGTTAAGCTGTGTTTCTGGCCCACTGATGCATGCCCTGTGTTCAGCCCCTGCATCAAACACTCTTAACTTACCAGATGCTATGCTAACCAGCTGGTGGGCTGCAGACGTTGACGTTTGGCACTGCTTCAATAACAGAGCCTTTTTTTCAAATCAGGGCTCTTTCTAAAAGGTGCGTACTAAGTTAAGGAGGGCATCTGAGACCCCCCCATAGTAGTAAACAGTCAGCACATGGGTGATTTCATTCTGTTTCTGTCTTCTAAGCACTACAGCTGACTCTTCTCACATCAAAGAGTCATTTTAGACAATGTTCATATAGAAAATACTAATGATGCAAGTTCAAAAAACTCCATCAATACATATCAACAGATGTATCTTAAAAGTTGCAGTCTAACAAAGAAATATACAAACATGTTTTGTGACATTTCTCACTGATAAAGATCAGTGTTTATTAAAGCCAATGTTGTATCGAAAGGGGTAACTTCACTTTCCTTCAAAAAGGTCAAAGCAGAAATAGAACAGCCCTCATCATGTTCTTCAAAGTATTGTACATCAGAACTTCCTGTTTTGTGGAATTACAAACACATACATGTAAGTGAACAGAAGTGGCTGTACCATTTCTTCTTTCTAAAGTTTAGTTTCATCATGTGCTCGTTTCCTTCCCCCTGTGTTGTAATACGAATGATAAAGTATGCTGCATGACACATGACTTTAAACACACCACGGAGATCTTAGGATATGATCATCCACCGTCAGCTGTTGCCATGGCAAACACAAAGTGCATAACAAACAATGAATAACACACAGTGCCTAACACACAGTGCCGTACCCATGACAAAGGTCTACTGTAGCACGATGAAGTCAGGTCCCCTGGCACGGCAAGGCGCGTATGTACAGTGGTTAAGCTTACAGTCCAGAGTCCAGAACCAGCTGAAGTCTGTGCATTGAACGACTTGATCTGTGCAAGCCATGCATGCACATACTGACATTATAGGAAACGCGGCTTTTTGAGTTGATATTATTATAAGTGGTTAGAGAAAGGACAGGTTATTCTCTACCAAAACAGTATTTTGTTCAGGCTTCTGTTAAAGGTTTCTGTTGTTCATGTGAAATGTAGCAGTTGTAGCTTTGTTACTCTCATGTTGGATGTTGTGTTAATCTGTAGTGACAATGTAACCTAGTTTAGTGACCCAGTTTAGTCTGAACACTCAGTTGCAATAATACAGAAAAGGAGTGTCATTTGAAACGATGTCACAACACATTGTATCGTGTGATAGTGGCACAAGGGTCGATACATGATGAACTTTAGAATACTTTCAGAATCAGAATCTAAATACTTTGTCTATCCAGAGGGAAATTGGGTTGTGTGACAATTGCTCAAATTAAGTATTAAATAAAGAAAATGAAATGTAATGAAATAAAGATATTTATTACAAAAATAAGAAGTTAAAGTAAAATGAATTACCAGTGAGATCAACAATTGTAAATGTATGACAGTGTCTGTCCAACTGTTGTTAATGTTGCATTACAAAGGGTTTCCTCAGCACGGTCCTTATACGTGTTATTGTAATGCGGTCTGGACTGTGGTTATGAGCTAACAGTCCATTTGTAATGAAAACTGTCCTGTTAACGATATGTTTACAGTGAGACACACGTTTAAAACACCATACCAAATTTAAAATTCCAAATATTCCCATTCATAGATCCCGTCCGTAAGAAATCTTAGTAATAGTGCATAACGTAACCACTTTTCCCGTCCTGCAGTCAGCGTTCTACCCAGAGGACAGCCTCTGAGCCCCCCCAGAGATCCTCACAGTCCCGGGACAGCAGTCACACTCACCTTCCGAGCTCTCCGGTGAATTCATACACACTCTCCATGGGCTCCGTGCTGATGGGGGTCTGACACTCGCAGAGCAGCCCCGCCGCCGGCCCGCTGCGACTGTCCAGCCGCCTCCGAGACATCTCTGCTGCTCAGGGATCAGCCCCGCTGCCTGCCAGCTGCCCGGCTGCTGGGACCGCGGTGAACGCTTACAGAATGAGACTAACTAACCTGAGAGGCTATCTAACGTTTACACTGCCAGCTCTACATCAGTCACATGTTAATGTTAACTAAACCGGTTAATATGCTAGTTTAGTTTAGCTACTTTACCGATCCGGCTAGCTCAACTGTCGCTAACTAAGTTAGCTCGACGGTCAATGTCGCGGCTTCTAAAGTGAGTTAAACCTATTTTCCCTAGCTCAACTAAAGAGGAACGGTTAGTCTCTAAAAGCTTTAGCTACGACTGTATCCGGTGGTTAAATTATCCGAAGTGCCGCTGCAGGCTACAGAGGAAAGGGTTAGTTCGTATATCTGGAGAGTTTTCGATCATTTTCACATCCTTCTGTTTGACACTGTGTGGACACGTCACTGCCTGGCGCATGCGCATTATTGTTGTGTTTGAAAAGGGGGTCGAGTTTATTTGAAACGTGAATTCAAAAGCTGTAACCTGTAATCATTGACTCCATAATTATAGTCATACGTTTGACTTTCTGAGTCACACATTTTTCAAAGTAATCAAAAGTTCAACCTCTACTAGGGTTTGGGTTATTTTATTATAACTTTAAAATTCAATATAGGCTATAAGTCATCATTTTTAGCGGCTCTACATTATTCTTTTAATTGTTTTTTTGTTTCTACTAGCCTACAAAGTCATACTTAGTAGTTTACGTTTTTAACTCACCAGTGTTTTTATTTGTTTGAATGTTTAACATTTTCTTAACATTGAACAAGTGGTTGTTTTAGTCAGAAATGAACTTCCATGTGTACGGAGCCCCTGTCACTGAGAGTAGGCTCAACACAGAGCCCATGAAGAGAGCAACGTTCTTATGCATCATGCAATTACAAATGTATAAAGTATGTATATAGGGGTAGTTTTACATTTTGATTATATTTATTTTTCCCCAAATAGTGTGTTTTTTTATTTTGTTGAATGTATTCAACTTTTCTATTTCTCTTGCTTTCACATAAATCAGAAGAAAAGGTAAACACTTTAGGTTAAGGAGAGTATTATTTCATCAAGGAGGGGTAGTGGCTACATAATAATGAAGGGTTTCCTTTAGTGAAAGAGTTTTAGAATGTACTATAAAGATAATATATGTAGTTATTGTACTCATTCAGATAATGCAAAACTCTTTTAAAGATAAATACGGCTCATACATCATTAATCAAAATTTGCCATTTGTTCTCTTTTTATTACAATCATTGGGGTGAAATGGAGACACACATACAGGAGCTTTGCATAGAGTGGAATTCTGAAACCGGAGCCATGTCCTCTCAGAAATGTACTATTAGAGACAAGAGAGGTGCAACTACTTCATTTGGATGTGAAGCGATCATTTGACCAGTGTTCTGCAGCAGAAAAGCCTCCTTATGGAAAACTGACCGAGTGAATGTATAATCCTAACGTGAAGCGGTGTTGGCATGCCACACTGCACCTCCAACATGAGGCGATGCTCTGTAAGGACTGTGGGATGTGATGGGTAGACAGAATTAGAGAGCAGGTTCTAATGGTTGACTTTGCAAGCCCCAAACCTTTGGTACATTCGGTGCAAAATATATATTTATACACACAACAGGACAGACATACATATACATTTATATACAAGGAGACAAACAGGACCGCACACATGGTACACGAACATGTGCTCTCACATTTCACAAAATCAAAACAGCCCTATTGATTCATCACCAAGCAATGAACCATAACCATTAACCTATTACTAAGATAGGCAGACACACACATGTGAAAGTTACTTTCTGAAACATGCTGCCGAGATACTCGCCAATACACTGTCATAGAGAAAACAAACTATCCCATTTGCACATTGTCCATTCCCAGAGCTAAATATAAGTGATTAAAGCACCTATTTCCCACCCCTTGTTCCCATGAGCTCCACACTCAAGGTATGACAGTGCCAGGTGAGCATAAGGCCGCATGCCTCAAATGAGCGCCACAACCAGAGCAACGCCCCTCAACCTACTCCCTCACCCCTTTTTCTGAACGGACAGCAATATCCTCATGCAAAAAAAGCTAGTAAGGATAGTGTGTTGCACTATTTCAGCATGCAATATCGAGCTATAACACAACGCCACCTAGGGGTTTCTGCCCCAGCGCAGCTCACAGAGCTCACTGGGAAGATCCCGCATGCAGTATTGGACTGGGAGGGGGAGGGGGGGGGGGGGCTGGGATTCTAAAGTCTGCCTCCACATCTCCATTGAACGTGGGGCTCTCTAGCACTATTCCAGCCCCTGTGGTGTAGCTCCAACAGGACTCTGTACAGTAGATGTATCTTGCATGCACCCCATAGAAAACGAGTATGTGTGTAAGTGTGTGTGTGTGTATGTGTGTGTGTGCGTGCGTGCGTGTGTGTGTGTGTGTGTGTGTGTGAGTGAGTGCATGTAAGAAAGTGCGTTAGAGTAAAATGGTCCTCAGGCTTTGGGCCGTGCACTTCAGAGTTAGAGAAATGTTTTATCACATGCTTTTCAACTATTGCCTGGCATGGACTTATGTACCAAAAGTGTAATATTCATGTTGCTGATGACATCACCATCACAGGTCAGCTGATTCAGAGTGGAGGGAAACACTGGGTCTTCAGTGTAAAGATGCTTTAGTAATCACAGCACACCTCCTGCCCCCTTGTGTTTGTTTTAGGAATTTAAACCGCAGCTTCTCAGAGGGACAGTTCACCCTAAATAAAAAGTACATGTCTCTTTTCTGTAGTGCTATATATACATCAATATTGTTTTGTTGTGAGTTATTAAGTGTTTGAAATATTGGCCGAAAAATAGAATATGTCTGACTTCTATCCAATATAATAAAACTAGATAGCATTGTCTGGTGGTGCTCAAGGTAGAAGATGCCAAACAAGTGGCTCTGCTCTTACCTCTGCGTGTAGATTGAGTTGGTGGATGTAGTTTGGTGTAAAGGATATAGTTCCCCCCTCAAACTGCTCACAACAAGGTGTGTGTATTATCATGACTTACAGGGTTGTGAGTTCGTACATTAGTGTTGAGATTTTTGGATGTGTGTTTTGGTGCATTGAGCACCACAAGCTGAATGCCATCTAGTTATATAGTTCTTGCACCACAACAATCCAGATTCCAAAATAGTACAACAGGTAAGAGGAAAAAAACATGTGGTTTTGATTTTGGGATGAACTGTCCCTTTAGGTTTTACCATCTTTGATTTGTGAGACACATGGATCTGGTAACATTTTTACAAGGAAATCAAATATCTTCCCTTATGAAATTTCACTTAATGGTCAGGAAAACCCAAGAGGCACTAAAAAGATCCCACACTGCACCCTGACCGGCACCTGGGTGATGCCAGGCTCCTGTCTTTCAGCTGACAAGGCATAATCCGGTGCCAACATCGAGTGAATCGCGTTCTCTTCCTCAAGCAACCGTGTCACGTTCCAACCCTTCCCCCATACTTCCAACTCTCCACTTTCTGTGAGGCCGAATCCTCTTCAGGGGCTGAACAGAGTTGCTTGAGGTTCAATACATTCAGTCTTATTTGGTACATTCATCACTTTCACAGAGGAGGCAGAAGGATTTCATCAGTGAGGAGGACTCTGTGTGTCACACATATGAGCAGACGTCCCCTGTCCTTGTGTGAAAGTGGATCTATTGCTCATGATAAATGTGTGAAAGACAGGAAGGTAATGTTTCTGTGTAGTGGAGTGAGTGCCATCTGTTACACTATAAGAACTTGCACCCACAGCATCAGAGCTAATGCATGAGTGTGTGATACTGGATGCCTTGTTTAGAATATGCAGAAATAGAGCCTCAGATATACGTCTTCACCTTTCGTTTCAGAGCTCTGATGTCGCAGGATTGAAGGTAACCGTCATCCTCACAGCAGCTCAATGACTCAGAAGAGCTGGTGACTCTTGTCCAACTTATAACAAGTTGATTTTCAGTCTCAGGACAATTGCTCTATGCACGTTGTCGATGTTTTTGTGTGTGTGTTTGTGCACACTAGTGTATCCCCTGCTCTCAGACGGGCATGGAGGACCAGCCAACATCCAGCTCAAGGTCTAAAATGTCACATCTTTCCATGCTGATACAAAAAATCCTGGGGGAGACACTCGTATGCACAATCAATTAAAAAATATAATGTTTGTGTGTGATCGTTGTGCAAAGGTGATTAGTGTGTGTGTATTATTGTTCATAACGCTGCAGCCTCAGTGCAGAGAGGACACAGTTTAGAGGTCCGGAGAGGGGGGGGCTCAGGGGGTTTCAGCAGCTGTCTCTGAGGTGCAGGTTAGAGGAGGAGGAGGAGGAGGTGCTAGAAATCCAGTAAACAAGGCCATCAACTGAAGAGATAAAGCACACGTGAACAAAGGTGAGCATGAAAACAAGAAGCCGTACAGAGCAGCTCTGCAGTCCTCTCTCCACTAACTCTGGGGGAGAGAAAGGGGGAGGATGGCAAGAAGACTGAGTGCTGAGTGAGACAGGACAGAAACAGCAGAGTTGTCCACGGGGGGTGGGGGGGTTAGTTGCCATTTGAGGATTAGTTTTATTTGTCTCTGGTCTGGAGGAAGGTTCTCTCACTCCAGCCCGAAGGTGCTGGTCTCCTCCACCGCAGTGACCAGCTTCTCATAGAGCATGGAGAAGGACGGGTAAGGGGGGAGGTCCAGACGATTAAAGCAAGTGTGAGCCCTGTGGAGACACACACACATAGACATTGCTATTAAATAGTTATATTATACTGTATTTAAATATATAAAACTCATTGTTAACACTCTTTTATGAACGTTTATTAATGTAACTTTAATTGCATTTCAGAAAACATAGGTTCCATTTTTTCAAAGCTCCATCAGGTGCTAAGCCAAGTAGAAGATGATTAATCAAAATCTTTAACACAAATTAAACGTCAATAATACATTTTATAATAAAGATTAGTAAATGCACTACTACTTCTGCTTATTCTACTAGTAAGAATGCCTTATTAAGGTGATACATTTTCTTTTCTTTAGAAACTAGTCCATCATTTTACAGTTCACAGTATTCAGTATAACAGGTCATTCCATCACAAGCTCATCTGTGTCCAAGACACACTGAAATTGAAGAGTTAAAACGTGTATTTCTACCCTTCACACTATGCTGGCACTGGGGTGCTGTGACATAACTCACAACTTAAAATGTATATTTCATTTGCTAAGGCAAGGCTGGTGTGGAGTGTGGAAGAACAAATAAGAAACATACAAGCCTCCACCTCTTGTAAAGTGTATCATTTCCATGCAGTCCCTAAAGGCTACATCCCATCAGACATCGTACCTGGGTAAGGAGGTGATCTTCCCCCACTTCTCCACACAGAACCTGCGGGGGCCATTACTGCCCCGCAGAGAGGCGAAGCCCTCGTA